CCCCTCCATCATCCTCCTCCAGAAGAACCTATGGGTTCTTATGGAGAACCCAAATCTGGGTTCTCTTTCCAAGAACCCACGGGGTTCTCTTGGAGAACCGAGATTTGTGGGAAGGAAAAAGAGGGGAGAAGAGGGAAAGAAGAAGAAAAAGAAAGGAGGAGGAGGGAAAAGAACATTGAAAATCAAAGAACCAAGATGAAATTGCAGGTTTTGGTTTGGTTGGTGAGGACGGTGAACAACAAGGAGGAGAAAGAGAAGATTGTAACGAAGTTAAGGTGTAATTAACGGAAAGTAATAGAAATTAAAGGGTGTAACGGAGTGTGTGGATAATGAGGGTAAACCTATTATTATCCAAATACAAATGTATATATTCCCTCATCACTAGGTATACATGGCAAGTCAACCACAATAGGAACATGTTTTCTTATGACGAAAAAGGAGAGTTATTATTATTTTTGTTTAGTTTGGACTGCATAAGAAGTGCAATCTAAATTATAAAAATATCAAAATACATAATGAATTTTGAGAAAAATGCATATCAATCTTAACTTTTAATAAAAAGTTAGAGTCTTAATTTTAAATTACGTTATTTTATTTAATTAAAATTCAATTTAAAATTTAAAAATATATTTTATTAAATATTGATATTTAAACGTAGAAATTGATTTGATTTTTGAATTTTGAATTGAAATTTTAATTTTTAAATATAAGTTAAGATTTTAATTTTTTTTTTACAATCAGAATCGATATGCATTAACCTTATGAATTTTTTTCAATAAAAATATTTAAATAATTTTATAGTGCTTTAAATTTGAAAGAGACATCTAATAAAAAAAACAAACATTTCTATTAAAAACAAACTAGTTGAGTTAACTTCCAATTAGATGGTTTTGTATGATTGTTAAAATTCCAGCTTAGGCCATTCTTGAACCCCACGCCAAGGCAGCACCCCACTTGATTGTTGATTTTGCATCTCCATTTACATTATAAAACGAGAAAGCTAAGAGAGAATATATCGCACATGGTTACAAGAAAGAATAAAAAATTAACAGAGGGAAATATACAGTAAGTATATGTTATTATTATTATTTTATGAAATAAGTATGATTTTGGAGCGCAAATAAGCCATGCTAATAACATTTTTAGTTAAATTTTGTGATACTAACTCGTTAATTTTTTAATATTCAAAAAATCAATGACTTTGGCCAAATCATCTGGAGCTTTTGATTTTTAAAGCTTTGCATATGGGTCCTGTTTGTTTTATTATAGCATTCAAATACGCCGACTTTTTTTATATTAGCCATAGAAATACGCCAGCTATTCAATTGCTTTCATGTCTGTCGTCTAATGTCCTGTGTGTGATTTTCTAGCATTTTAGGAGGAATTAAGATAGAAAATTCGAATTTTATCCAAAGCTAAGCTAAAAGCTTCTTATTAAAAATGAAAAAATTAATGCTACCCATCCATGGAGAATGGGGATAACCCACCCCAACTTGAACTAAAGGCAAGGCACAAGTATTTTCCATATTTGGTTTGCTATCCATCCATTGAGAATGGGGTTTGCTTGCCTCTAAGCTCGAGTCAAGTTAAGGGTCATTTCGTTTGCGAAATCTAACCCATTCATGCCCAATTAAGTCACTAAGTAATTTCTGACTCGAAAGGCATTTTTTGATCTACTTTAAACATTTATAAAACTAACTTTCTTTTATTATTTGTTCCATATGGGATGTAATCGCTTTTCATTTTTAAAGCTTTGCATATGGGTCCTGTTTGTTTTATTATAGCATTCAAAGACGCCAACTTTTTTTTTATTAGCCATAGAAATACGCCAGCTATATTCAATTGCTTTCATGTCTGTCGTCTGATGTCCTGTGTGTGATTTTCTAGCATGTTGGGAGGAATTAAGATAAAAAATTCGAATTTTATCCAAAGCTAAGCTCTAGCTTTTCATTAAAAATGAAAAAATTAATGCTACCCATCCATGGAGAATGGGGATAACCCACCTCGACTTGGACTAAATGCACAAGTATTTTCCATATTTAGTTTGCTACCCATCCATTGAGAATGGGGTTTGCTTGCTTTTAAGCCCGAGTCAAGGTTAAGGGTCACTTCATTTATGAAGTTTAATCCATTCATGTTCAATTAAGTCATTAAGTAATTTTCAACTTGGAGGGCATTTTTTTGATCTACTTTAAACATTTATAAAACTAACCTTTTTCGATTATTTGTTCCATATGGGATGTAATCACTTCTCACTTTTGTCTTCCCAATTTCAACACCGAAGCCTTCCTTTTTTTTTCTTTTTTCTTTTTTTTTTTTGGTTGTTCTTTCTTTTTTTCTTTTTTTGTCTTTTTCATCCCA